TCGCTGTCTCTCTCTCTCTCTCTCTCTCTCTCTCTCTCTCTCTCTCTCTACTCTCTCTTTCTCTCTCTCTCTCTCTCTCTCTCTCTCTCTCTCTCTCTCTCTCTCTCTCTCTCTCTCTCTCTCTCTCTCTCTCTCTCTCTCTCTCTCTCTCTCTCTCTCTCTCTCTCTCTCTCTCTCTCCACATATATAGATATATATACATAGATATAGACATGCATGTTTATGACAAAAAATGTATATATCTATATATATATATATATTTATATTTATAATATGTATATTGTACATACACACATACACACATATTTACATATCATGCGTACATACTTGTGCATGTCTATTGCATTTCTTTACATCTGTAGTGAAATGCTGTCAAGGTATTCGTGTACGTGCATATACCAGCTTATACACAAATGTATAGTCATACATACGGGTTTGCCACTTGATTTAAGTGCTGTGTTTTATGCTGAGGTCTCAATTGCTTGACTAGAACGACCTGTGTGTGTGTGTGCGCGTGTGTGTACGGCATGTTTGTGTTTGTTTAACGCAGAGGGTCCATGGTGACTAATATAGGGGCCTAAATAATTTCTAACACTATTCTGGGGGTTCCTTATTCTAAGTATAGTATAATGGTCCCCAAAACCCTATTCGAATGATGAAGGCCCCTATGTTACACACCGGATCCTCGGCGGCCTTACCGCTGAAACCAAGGACAGACATATCAGCAGTAGCCTGAACTCTCCGTAGGGATAGTTTGAAGCAGTGAGTGAGTTATGATTCAATTCCAACTCGTTAGTAGCAATTGTGTTTTAAGTGGGGTCCAAATGGCTTACTGTGGCCATTTCATGTCAAGCTGCTTGGTCATCTTGCGTCAGGCCTGGTTTACCCAAGTCTCCAGAGGAGCCAGGTTTGCGCGGAGCCCGGATGGAATAAAGCAGCTTGTGAGGCGAATTGAAGGAATGAACGGAACTGGTGTTTGATGAGCGTCAGGGTGGAGGATTCGAGATAGAACTTTCCATTTTCTTTGTGCACTTTGCAATCAGCCGGTACCTTTCCATTTACCGATCTATTGAACTGCCATCGATCCATCTACCTACCTATCTATGTGAGCTTTGGACACGCGTCTTTGCCCAAGCCCGGTAGGACCTTTGGAGGGCGGGGGCACACAAGAGTACAGGACTTTGAGGCTTACTATACGTTCCCTGGCGGTTGGGGGGTTTGGCAAATCTCCCATGCCCTGCAGAAGAAGAAGAAGGAAGAGAGCGAGACAGAGAGAGAGAGAGAGAGAGAGAGAGATAATGAAAGGGGAAGCGAAGAGATAATGAAAGGGCCAGGCACACCTGGGGGAACGTGGGCATCGCTCATCCCCGGAAGGGGCCTTGAAGACGAACCGCTGCGAACCGTTGTGGGGGTAGGCCTTCGGGCCAGGGTCTCTTCGGAGTCCCACACCCCTCAGCAAGCAAGCAAGCAAGCAAGAATGAAAGGGCAAAAGAGATAGCAAAAGAGGGAGAGCGGGAGAGCATGCAGGGCTGAGCATTCTTGATTGTTCAGAGGTCTACAGCACTGCTTTTGCACAGCTGCATAGACAGAGGAGTGGTTCACGTTGGGCTGTCGACGAATAGTTGGTGTCGCAAGTTCGCCGACGCTGCTTTTTGGCTCGATCATCTCTGCCCCTACAGTTTTAGTGCTGTCCCCTGAGCCCCCAGAAAGCACAATCTCAAGACAGGTTGGCCACGACCATGAAGCCACTAAGCCCGGAAGGTTGTAGGTCTTGCCGAAGCTGAATCAGAAACGCTACAGTAGCGGCTGGCGTATCTAGATGCGCCGGGTTCTTCGCCATGCTTCCGAGTTACCTTTTCATCACCGCCTGAACCAGCAGATCGGGGCAGCTGATGCCTGTCTGTTTAGTGTTTATGGTTCTGGGTGAAACTGCCTTTGTTGAACTTGGCTCACCCCGGCACATCCCCATGGAATCCAAGCAACTGATATATTCTCATGAAAACTATACCAGGAACCCCCAAACCCTATGTATTTCTAACTATGAAGGTCACAGGCAGGTGGGATCGAACCCTGGATGAGCCAAGGAAAATGTCAGCAAGGTCCTTGCCGTTTGCATGGACAACTTGGAGGAGACGGTGTCACATTACATCGAGTCTAGGTATGGCAGCTGTTGATGCCCGTGGAGACACTCTCCACTTCTTGCAGGTACAATAATCACTAATGCTCACCCTAAACCCTAATCCGATAACCAACCCTGCAATGCGGGCTTCGTCCTTGCTAGGTAGGAGGGAAAAAATCCGATAACCATTGATGTTGCCAGCACTGGTGCTTTCGTCAAAGCCTGGCCTCGAGTCCATGTTGCTTTTTCGGAACTGATCATGATAGCGATGGTTTTGCTAGTTGCTCGTCTTGTTCCTGTGGGATGGCGAGGATTGCAGTGACAGTTGTGATTTTAAGTGGCCGGTCAGATTACGACAGCATGAAAAGGATGGTGGTAGTATTTTTTTGGAGAGGGACTGCTATTGTCGTGTTCACATTGCTTTTGGTGTTGTTGTTCTGCTGTGTGTGCCGCGACAATAGTTAGTGTTATCGCTACGCATCCTCCTTGGTTTCTTGCCCTGTCCACCTCTCGACTTCAAAGGAGCTGGATTCGGTGAACTTGGCTACGGCTCTCCACCGACTGGCTAAATGGAGCAAAGGTGCTCGGAGACGTTCGAAATATGGGAGTTTCCGAAAATTAGGGGTGCCTTTTTTGGGGTCCTTAAGGATCCTAGTATTTAGGGTACCATATTCGGGTCCCCTATTTTCGGAAACTCCCACATGTTCAACTTGCTGCTGTTCCAATACCGAGCCCTAGGTTTTGCGTTGCCAACTACTAACACTGACCCTCTTGCCAAATGCTTTTGCAGCACGACTCGCCGAATTGTGTGGAGATAACTGAGATAACACTTATTGTTGGCAGCTTGGTCGTGTGCGTTTCCACGTGTATTCAGACGCTCACTTGTAGGGGTGTTTGCATTTGGCCTGGTGTGTGCCGTGAGTTCTGCGCGAGGTGGACGAGGCGACATTCTTGAGTCAACGATGTGTGGCTGAGCGGGAGGTTTGGAGGACGGTCCTCGGGCTCGAGTTGCTGATGCCAGAGCTAGAGTGCCACATTGCTCGGTCATTCCTACGGCAATGACTGTTTTGTCTGTCTAGAGGAGGACGTGTACAGTGTACACATACATAACTACGGTAGATACATAGGTACATAGATACACGCATACCGACATACCGACGTACAGACGGACGGACGGACAGACTGTCGCGGTGGGGTCTCTTCCACAACTAGACCCCGGACGTCAGTTGAGACTGTTCCATGTGCTTGGACGGACAGGGAGACAGAGAGACACAGAGACGTGGAGACAGACAGACGGACAGACAGACAGAGAGACTGACAGACTGACAGACCGACAGACCGACGAACCAACAGACCGACAGACGCAAAAATGGTGCCGCGTCGCCGCGTCGCAGACCCCCCCCGCCCAGCCCCCCAGGCGGGGTGGGGAAGGATAGGAAACAACACAGGTAACCCCAGGGCCCCCTTCCCTTCCCCTCCACCGATGGCGATGATCTTGTGTACAATGACGTTGATGTGGTATTCCCAGTGTGGCTGTTGGTCGTACCTGCGCTCTTATGTTGCTCTGGGCTTCGCCACCGCATGTTCAATGCTTTATTTGGTTGAAAACCGTGCTTGGCTTGTGATGTTCTTGCGAAAACTGTAACGACCGTTGTCATGCCAAGCCAGGTTTCGGTTGGGTTCGTTCAACGTCATGTTTGTCTGATGTTCATTCGGGACTCTTGAGCAAGGGACTGGAGGAAAGTGCAGATGGGGATCACGACCACCATCTTCGTCATCATCGTCACCATAACATTCAACACTATCATTGGCTTTGGAGCTCAGGGCAGGTCGAAGTTCACTGAACTGTATCACATCCTAAGCTCCAAACCCTTAGCAACTGGACGCCCAACCAGCAACAGCCATGGAAGGGTGCACGCCGACCGCAACCACAGGGGGGAGGGACAGGGGGCAACCCACACCACAGGGGGGGACAGGGGATACCATGGGGTGGAAGGGGAAGGGGGGCCTAGCAGCGCTGCACCATATATATATATATACACACACACACACACACACACACACACCCCACACACACACACACACACACACACACACACACCCCACACACACCCACACCCACCCACCCACCCACCCACCCACCCACCCACCCACCCACACACCCACCCACCCACACACCCACCCACCCACCCACACCCACACCCACCCACACACACACACATACACACACACACACACACACACCCACACACACCCACACACCCACACACCCACACACCCACACACCCACACACCCACACACCCACCCACACACACACCCACACACCCACACCCACACCCACACCCACACCCACACCCACACCCACACCCACACCCACACCCACACCCACACGCACACCCACACACCCACACACCCACACACCCACACACCCACACACCCACACACCCACACACCCACACACCCACACACCCACACCCACACCCACACCCACACCCACACCCACACCCACACCCACACCCACACCCACACACACACACACACACACACACACAGAGACAGACACACACACACACACACACACATTTCCCTTTTGTTTTCACCCTCTTAATTATAGCACGCCGAACACCGGCTGCGTCCGACATGGACTGATTGCACTGAAATGAGAAATGAATTTCAAATATTATATATATATAGTTGTTTTCTCCATCATTTTTTTCATTTGTTTATTTCATTTATTGCGTTTCTACTCGTTTGCTCCCCCCCCCCCCCCCCCCCCCCCCCCGCTGTTGCCATGTCTTTCTCAGGAGCCGGCAGAGCTCTTGGCCTCGCGCCTGCTTTTCATGCCGAGCCCTGGGCCAAAGCCCCAGGCTTCGGCCACCGCCGCTTGGGCCTCGGGCATCCTTCGTGCGAAATCTCCGGCCCTGATGCAGCGGAGCCCTGTCAAAACAAGGCGAAAAAGTATATGTAGCTACATACTATGACTATGGCTATGATGCCATAGAAATATGCTATAGCATGGCCTGGTCATGGGATTAACTTCCGCTGCGACGCTGCGGGTCAGCTCAGGACATGCGAGCAGAGCACGGGTCATTTCGATAGCCGCTCAGTTGCGGAATGGGGCAGGAGTTTCGTGTTTGGTGATTGGCAGGGAATGGGGGAAAGGATCACTATGATCCCTATAGTCGTCCCTATATAATCCCCCAAAAATCATAGTCTCCATAACCCATTCCCCCATTCCCTACTAAGAACCATGCAGACAGCAGAACGGGGCAGAAGTTTTTCCGAGTCTGCTAATGTAGGAACCTGATTAAGAAACCCTGTGCCTAAAGCACCAAAATAGTAGGATTCACAACAAGTCCACTGCTTCAAACAAGTAAAGGCAACCCCCAATATAGTAGAATTCATAAACGGAACCCGAGCAAAGGCCCGACGAGGTTTCTTAATCAGGTTCCTACATCAAACCCCTGGAAACCCGTTTCGTACCCTTGAAAGGAACCCTTATAGCACGCTAACAAAGGCCCAAGGTTTCTTGATCAGGTTCCTACACTACCCAGGGGCCCCAACGTAGTTCCTTTTTGGAGTTACCCTATAGGATTCTATATATGAACCCCAAAAAGGAACTACTTTGGGGCCTTTGGGTAGGCTTTGCTCTCGGATTTCCGAAGACGGTGGGGAGCTCTACGCCCCGAAGCCTTCGCTCCCAGGTGTAAGCAAGTCCTAGGAGAATCGCTTTTTGCTCTAGAAATATGTACTGTAATATACTAATAAATGCAGCAAATATGAGATCATATAATCTAAGACTAAACAGAATGTAACGAAAATATGCAAAAAAAGAGATATAGTTCAAGATCAGCAGGCCTACGGTACAACCCCCGGGATCTGACGACCTTGGCATGGGACTCCGGAAGCGCGGCGGCACAGGGCGCCGCGTTCCGGGTCTTGCCGCCTGGATGGCACGATTCGGGCTTAGGGTTTAGGGTTTAGAGTTTGTCGAGCAGCGACTTTTGATTTTTCGGTTTTGCTACCACCCCCCCCAAACATCCACACTGTAATTGAAAGCAAGAAGAGGGACAAATACTACTAGAAGAAGAATGACAGGATCCTGATAATCTGTATTTTGATGTCGTTGCGAGCAACTCACCAGTGGTGTGATTCGACATAGGCTGAAACAACGTCTCAATCTCCTGGTATCTCCGGATCACATCCATCAGGATAGTATTCATAGCCTTCTCCATTTCTTGCTCATGTGCTCTACCCGCATCACCGTCTTCATGGGCATTTTCGGTATGAGGTATCGCGACTACCTGTTTCTATTTCACGCGGCTGCTCACGAGAAGTCTTGTTGTTCCAACCGTTGTTGTCACCAGCTTTATTAACTATGGTGGAGCATCATCACCAACAGCAGCAGCAGCAGTAGGAGCGCGACGCAGCGCGCCGACATGACTTCCGAAACCTTGGACAATCCAGTAGAACCCTGAAGCCATGCTGTCAGTCGTACACCCACGGCTCGTGACACCTCAGTCTTGAAATTCTAGTGCGAACAGCAAGCGTAATATGGGGCTTTGCGGAAGCCATCTGGGAGTTTCCGAAAATAGGGAACCCTAATATAGTACCCTAAATGGTAGGATCCTTTTTTGTAAGTACCCCAAAATAGGGCACCCCAGTCTGCGGAAACTCCCATCCCAGGCTCATTGGTATGGCCCATGGCTCGCCTTAGCTTTTCCATGCCTTCGGGGCTATAGACCTGGCCAGCGTGGCCCCTGGCAAGAAATCAGAACATTACTATTATACTACTTTGGGGGTTCCTTGTTATAATTATAGTATACTGCGTCCCAAAACCCTGTACAATGGAAGAGGGTGTAGGCTTCAGGTTAGGCTTTAGAGCTTTCAGGGTTTAGGGTTGAGGTCTTGGTTCAATCATTCTGGGTCTGCGCGTTATACTGTTCCGGCATACTCCCATACACTTGTCATAGCAGTGTGGGCATCATCGCAGGTTCTATTAAGCCGTGGTAGCGCGACGAGCTTTGAACTTTCTTGTCTTGCGGCTCTGAGGTTGCAGGGCTTAGGGCTGGGAGCTTTTTGAGATCTGCGTTGTCACCAGGCCCCAAAGACAGCAATATAAGGGCCATTAATCGTATAGTATAATGGGCCCCATTAAGGCCCCTCTGTATGCGAGGCGTGGTCGTCAGCCACCCTGGAATGGCAGGGCGCGACGCTGCCGACCACGTCGGCTGCGGAGGTCCACCGGAAGCTGTGGATGTCCTCAGAGTATTTTGTCTTTTCTCGCACTATCTCATTTTTGATATTGTTAGTATCGAGACTTCGCGCTTCGCGGTTTGCCCAGAGCCAAGGAAGATGGAAGGCTTTCGGTTTCCGGCACAGGCCACATCTAATGTTGCCTGGGCCTCGGCGGTATTTCATCTCCTTGGTCTGCCTCCTACGGCCACGACAAGCCACTAGGGTGCAGATCAGCTGCCATAGCTCCGTGCCCAAGATCCGGCCAACAGGAGGCTCGACGTTTCCCAATGTCCAGCTTGATCCCTGTCGTAAACTGTGACTTTTGGGAGTGTACAAGCCCTGCTCTCTCCTATCGTCACCTGGTTTCTATCCCTGGATAAAGAAAGACAAGGAGGGTGAGGGGCCCCTTTAGGTGGAGACTCGCGACCTCGGCTCTGCGGGACTTGCCTTTGCCGGCCGCAGCCTCCTCGTTTGGCGTCTTGAAAATTCGAGAGTCTACTCCTCAGGGAGCCTCCAACACTGTGCAGTCGCCGACCACGGCCATGGCCCTTGACAAGCGGGCCCTGAAACTAGAGCTGATGAGGATGGCTTTTTGTTTCTTTTTTTGATTCGTCCAGTGCAACTACACTTAGTGACGGTGCGTCAAGAGCAGCGCCAAGGAATGCCGTGGCAACCCGAGGCATGGGGCACCTGGACGAGCGGAAAGCACAAGAACTGTCGAACACCGCCTGGGCACTTGCGACGGCCCATTTCGAGCAGGCGAGGGATTCGGCTGGTAGGGTTTAGGGTTTAGGGTTTAGTGTCATCCGTCAAGTCTCGTTTGCTTGACTCTACCCAAAGCGAAAGGCATTTCGCAGCACAACAATCAGTTTGCACCGACACTTTGTGGCCTTGAGGTTCCAGGTGTGCCTCCTGAGAGAGTAGCCCGCAACTCGTATTGTAAGTTCTTGGGCTTGTTGGGAAAGGAAACCGCCGAAAGATTATTCAGGAGCCGCCAACTACTGCCGCCTCAAGCATGGCTCTGGATCGGCTAGGGGAGTTTTCATCGCGGCACAGTGCCAACCTCGCTTGGTGCCCAGGAGCTGGATTCTCATTTAGGGTGGGCCGAGTCGTGTCATTGTCATTGAGATCGGTTTTTTCAGACTGGGAGGGAGGGCAGTGCTCATACGAACACGAATGCACAGGAACGCTAGAGAGCCGGCAGGGGGCTCTCGTGACCTCGGTCGGTGCCGCGGCGCTACGGGGTCTCCCTCAGCCAAGCCCACTCTCCCTGGCAAGCACGGCCTGGGCTTGCTTCATGCAAGCTCTCAGAAGCTGCTTTCGCTTTGAGTTGTGCCCATGCCTAAACCCAACCCTAAGCCTCAAAACCCTGAACCCCTAATCCTTGCCAGGCTTGTCCGAGAGTGAGTGTCAAAAACCCCTAAGCCCCTAAACCTCGGCGTCAGCGAGTGTGCGTGTCGAAACCCCGAAACCCCCGAAGCCCTAAACCCCTAGAGAACCTCGCCTGGCATGTCCGAGTTGTGAGAGCGTAAACCCCTAATCCCTAAACCCCGAAACCCCTAATCCTTAAACCCTAACGCACAAGTTTGAGGTGTCACTTCGCGGGCCATTGGCTTGTCGTCGCTTCATGCCATGGCTGGCCATCTGTTCAGCAGCAAAGTGGACGAGGGAGTTGCTACCATGGCCCGTGGGACGGTTTTAGCAAGTTGTTATTTCGGCACCCAATCGGAAGCCGGTTTAAGAAGGAATTGTTGAAGGCCCCTCGTTTTGCAGAGTCATCTTGCCGTAGAGGCCATCTGGACATTGTCCCAGCTCGATGACGTCACAGCTGCCTTTCAACTCGTGGATTCTGCAGCTTGGAAGATTCCCCCCTTGAGCTTGTCGCCTCTCCTTTCACGCTGTGAGCAAGAGGGCCTGAGCTCAAAAGAGCTTCGTGTTCTCAGCTTCCTGGCGCATGATGAGTTCAAGCCTCTCACAGAGGAGGTTATTGCCTCACATTTGCGAGTGACAGGTGAGGCCCAGCCGGAGGTGGAATGAAAATCAAAAGCTGCCTGTTTGTGCCGGGCCCTGCACTTTGCATCCGATTGCCTTCGGATTCGTCCGCCGAATTGAAGCAAAGTCATCGGTTGGCCGAGGCGCTCGGATGCTGCTCCTTGGCAGAAAGTATGGCTATGACGGCATCTGAATGTCGAAGGAACGGAAGGTTTTGTTTGACAGCTTGAATGTCTTATGTCTCGCTGTCTTGTTTGCCCATGTTCATGAAGTTAAGCTAGATTCGGACTCTAAGGCTCTAAGGAGCACTAGTACTATTTAGTCACTTTGTGTCCCAGGCCCGAGCCGTTCTTCAGTTCCGTGCACAGGTGCAGCTTGGCATCTCCCAGCAGGTCCTGGATCCCTTCGCGCGTCGCCGTGGGAAGTCGCAAAAGCCTGGGCCAGGGCAGGGAGGGGACCAAGTGGAGCCGACTCATATGGCCCATGCCATTGCTTCGGGTTCCCTACTAAAAGTATCCTAGATTAAGAACTGATGACTGAAACATACCCCGAAGCATACAGGCCCTGATAATTGACTTTCAACCTTGAAAGCTCTTGCTTTTTGGTTGTGCGCTTGCCCCAGAGTCTGCTTGCGTCATTTCGGCTCGCAGCTTTAGGCTCAGTTGGCAGAATGGTTCTCAATCGGAAGTCTGAGAGTGGGCACATGTAAGACTAGGACATGGGTTCCGGTTTTCGGCAAACAGAGGCAGGTGCTCTGCCAGCGACCCAACAGTTCTTGAGTGCAGGGCAAAGAAGCCGCTTTTTGGGGTTTAGGGTTCTCCAGGTTGTCTTAGTATAGCCTCTAGAACTCCAAAAATCTCTTAGTCTATCGGAATCTCAAGGACTTTAGAATCTCATACTTGCCATGCCACGCAGCGGACTTTCCCGTAGGGCCAGGTGAAGAAGGACTGCCCTGGTGTGGCTGTTTGTAGCACCATCTGCATGGTAAAGTAGGGGCCCTAAGAATAGCCTGTATCTTTTTTTTTTGGGGGGGGTCCTTATCATAATTACGAGTATAATATACACCGAAACCCTCTTCTGATTATTAATTCCTGGCTTCTAAAGCTGAGCCAGATCTGTTTGCAGGATCATGTCGTCAAACGGTCCGGAGGTCCTGTGGGAGGCGGGAGGGGAAGAGAGAGAGAGTTAAAGCGCATCTGAGCTGAAAAGAACAGTAGAGTCGAGTCGGTAGACACTGTTGGTGCAGGGCGAATTGGCTGCGCAGAGTTCTGTACAATGCATGGATAAACATTAGACCATGAGCACATTCAACCTTATTTCGGGATGCGTGCCCGATGTTGATTTGCCGGATGGGAGATGCCAGCGCTGGAAGCCCAGACAACTCGCTTCCAAAGGTCTCGCGGCCCAGCTGTCCCATCCGAGCTGAGCCTCACTTCAATGCTGAGGCCCAACATGCCCCGAGTTGATGAGTTCTTATTCGCCAGATGCAGATCCTGTCGACAGGTTCTGCGATGGAAACGGCAAGGCACACTTGTGTCATGGATGGAAACCTGCGCCGACAGTGGAGGCTTAATTACCTGCTCTTGAAGACCAGACAGGTGACCGTGTGAGCTGCATCGAGATGACCATGGACGGTTGGCTGAAGATCGCCGATGACAGGGGATGGACCCTTGGCTGCAAGCCGCATAGCGATGCCTCGTGCCAGGGTGGTCTCGTGCTGCAAGCGGAACTCCTGCGAGGATGATCTCGGACATGCAGGGCCTCCACGGAATCGGGGAGGTTCTGAGTCCCAAGCGTGGCGAGGCTGGCACAGTGTTTGTGCTTTCGATGATTAGTCTGCCGCAGCCAGTGCCGTAGGTGCCAACATGTGCCAGTAAAACCGCAAACTTGCAGCAGCTGCTCGAATCAGGATGTGCACATGAGAAGTTAGATTCAGTTAGATTCGGTGAATATTATCCCCTGCTCCCTGCAAGGACGTCAAGCTTGCGGTTGAGGAGCCTCACTCTCAAGGACCGGCGGGTGCAAGTGCTAAGCAAAAGAAAATGCAGCTTGCCGGCCGAGCAAGCACCCCTGAAGCTGCAACGAGGTGTCTGCTGCCTGGAAATTGTTTACGCACAGGCCGAGCTATGTGGCAGGGAATAGCCGAAAAGGGGGCAACCCGGTCTCGTGAATGACATGTTAGTGCTGATGATTTCGGTTTCGATGACGACGACACTGGTGATCATGGTTATGGCGACGGTGATGATTGCGGTGGCAATGATGGGGATGTGGATGAGGAGGCGGAGGCGGGGGCGGGAGGAGGAGCAGGATGAGAAGGAGGAGCAGGAGGGGCAGGAGAAGGAGAGCAAGAAGGAGAAGGATGATGATGCGGAGGAGGATGAGGTTGATGGTGACGGTGGTAGTGAAGGTGGTGGCTGTGGTGATGATGATGGCGACGGCGACGATGATGATGGTGATGGTGATGGTGATGATCACCACCACCATCATCATCATAATCATGATGTTGATGGTGAAGATGATAATGATGGTGCCTGTGAGCATGGTGAAGATGAAGTTGACGGCAATGCTGCCTATCAAAATTCAGATTGGAATGGTAGCAGCAGAAGCAGTGCATCCAATGAGCTTCAGAAGTTACCTACACTATTTGGGGGGGTTCCTTATTATGGTTATAGTATAATATACCCCAAAACCCTATTGTAATTATTTAGGCCCCTATATTAGCCAGATCTCGAACCCCCCAACAGTTGCAGTCGGAACATCCCGACCTTTCTTTACTTTAAGCAGCTGCAATGCGTCTGGGGATGGCTTTGCTGTCTCTCTTCCTGATTTTGGGCCAGCCAGCCAGACATGACTTGAATGTCCCACATTCTCACCCCAAGCATTCCAAACCCCAGCAACCCATGCAAAGCAGCCTTTCCAGAAGCTTTTTGAGCGTTCCACGGTGCTTGTGACTAAGTGTTCCTTTGCCTGAGCCGCTCGGACGAGATCTCATATGCGGATCCGAGAAGTCGCTCTGAAACCTTCGAGAACTCCGAGCCAAAAGAAATGGCCTAGCTTAGCCCCACAAAAGAAATATATATATATATATATATATATATATATGTATATATATATATATATCACACACACAGATATATATATATATATATATATATATATATACATATGCTTATTAGACCAGAAAAGACCTTCAAGAACCCTTACTGCTGCTTTTCAGCGAGCAGGTGGCAGTCCGCGCCTCACCCAGCCGAGATGCTGTGGCTTTGTACTACAGGCGTTCCCTGGCCACAGCTTCGGGTTCAGGGTGTCGTGATGTGTCGTGCTTAGGCTCTTTGGGACACCTGGAGGGTTTTCTTGGGGCTAAGGTGCAGTGAGGGTGAGTGGGATTAGGAATTCCAGGGTCTCAGATCTACACATGCTCCCTGAGTTGACAGTCTCTGGCGATTGCACAAGTCCAGCTGCAAAACAAGGGGAATTTCAGGGATTTTGCATAAATGGCGACCTGGGGGGGGGGGGGGGGGGGGCATACATGTGGTCTTGTTGTTGGACTTTGCACCGCAAAGGAGTCAAACAGGCTTCACACCCTGAACGGAGGCTGCCCGAGGTCCGGCCGAGGGTGCTTACGATTGTCAGTGGTTGGAACTGTAGCCATGGAATCATTCTTAACCCCTCAAAAGCCTGAAGGCTTCGTTGAACTGATCGGTCTATGCTTGAATGATTCCAGCTGATGGTGCTGCACGGCGCATGCACACGCATAGGTAGGCTTCGACGGTCCCGCAGGTCCAAGGCTTACGTACGACCAGGCAACCCTTCAAGAAGTAACATGATGAACCTGAAGCATAGTGACGCAAATGGCGGAGGCTTTTATGTACATATTATATGCAGAGACAGAGGGGCAGAGACATTCAAAAACACACACACACACACACTCTCTCTATCTGATGTATGTATGTATATACCTAATTATGTGTATGTATGTGTGCGTATATATATATATATATATATAGATCTACGTCTGCAGGTTTTCGGAGTCCGGATTTCCTGATTTCCGGCTTTCTGCAGTACGTAGGTTTCCAGATTCCAGATTTGCATGCACTATGTTTCCAGAGATTCCAGATTTCCAGATTTGCAGGCTCTAAGATTCCAGATTTCCAGATTTGCAGGCTCTAAGATTCCAGATTCCAGATTTCCAGATTTGCTCACCCTAAGGTTTCCACATTTCCAGAAATCTGGAATCTGGAATCTGGAGACTTAGAGCCTGCAAATCTGGAAATCTGGAATCTTAGAGCCTGCAAATCTGGAAATCTGGAATCTTAGAGCCTGCAAATCTGGAAATCTGGAATCTTAGAGCCTGGAAATCTGGAATCTGGAAACTTATCCTGCAAATCTGGAATCTGGAAACTCTAGGACGTGTAGAAACATGAGCATCAGCCGTGGCCTCATGAACATCAGTCGGCTTCGGGGCTGGTCCTAAAACCAAAACCACCTGGTCAGAAAGCGTCTTTGAGGTTGATCATGATCAAAAAGAAGTGAATTTGCTTAATGTACCACTCAACAACGAGGTCATGGGGTAGCGGCTCCAGTTATTGCGCTGCCATGCAGCACCGCTGATGCTCATGATGCGCGTGTCTTGTCCGCCCCCAAACCTGCTGATGCTGGTCCTAAAACCAAAACCGCCTGGTCCGTCTCGTTCTCCCACAGCCGAAATCTTGAACCAGTGAGTGTCTATGAGAGGGTCTAGTGAAGAGGGACATGCGATATGTGATGGGTGCGCAGCTGTGCACAATCAAGTGTGACTCCAAGCCTATTGAAATCTTGCCGCACACGAAGCCATGGAAATCCACCCGGACGAGGTGCGGTTCAACCGCACAAAACATGTAATGCTCCAAAAAATCAACTTTTCCAACCCTTGAAACGCACGAAACACTGCTATGCTCAAAAAAATCCAAACTTTTAAGGAATCTGCCCCCGGCCTGGCCGTAGATGCCAGAATTTTAGAATTTTGGATTTCTTTGAGCAGTACAGTGTTTCGTGAGTTTCAGGGCTGGAAATTTTGGAATTTTTTGAGCATTACAGTGTTTTCTGATGTCCAGGACAGGATATATTGCATCACAAGATAATTGTGTGCTTTCAAGCGTTCTCAAGGACTGGAAGTAATGATTTATGTGTCTTCTGGAACAACAACGGTTTTCATTACTCTTGTTTGGTAAGTATGAAAAAGGCCTAGTCGTTGCATATTCATGTATGTTTTCGGAGGTTGGTAGATCTATGGCACCAGCAGCACTGGCTCCAGTACCTGAGCTTTCTCGAAAATGGTTTTGGCCATTCTTAGGCAAGCTGCACCGCCTACAGATCCAACACTGTAGCAGCGCAAGCCTATCTGGAACTTAATTCATTTCATGTTGAAGACTGTGGGAAACTGTTTGCATGTTGCTATCATCAGAAACAATGGAGACTTCCTATTCGGTTTCCTATGAGACATCCTCATACTTATCAAGCAAGAGACATGAAGATTCCAGCTAACCCAGAAGAAAATTCTACGATGTCACCTGTAGTCTTTGAAGACTGGAGAGAGCTCCTTTTCATGTTGTGATACGAACTATGACAGCGTTTAAACCACAGTCACAGACAGAAGGACCGGTATCGCTTTGTCAGGATGTGAGGGAGGTGTAGAAACCGATACAAGTCTTACGCCTCTTGCCCGTTTAATAGAAGATACCAGTAAGCAAGCTTCTTTTTGTTTCCTGATCACATCTGGGGAGCATGGACATAGCGATTGGCATCTTCTCCGGGGTATAGGACAGCATCAATAACAGTTAACCGAATGAAAACTCATGGCCCAAATGAGTACCCTCAAAAATAGATAGCGATTGCTATGCACATGGCTGCCTTTAATATCGACTCACAACTCACAACATAAAGAGGAGTTTTCTTCCATGAAGTGCCATTTTACTTTGTTTTACAAGGTTAAGGAGCCCCTGCCTTGTGATTGATACGTATCAATGCAGCCAGTCGTAATTAGTCGTGCTTCATGTTTGGAAGGTTGCAAGAGCTCTCTTACTTTTTGCTGCAGACGAGCCTTCTTGTGCGCCCGCATATGCACATGAACTTTCCAACTCCAACTCTGAGCTTTCCCATTTTTTATGAGGCAAAGAACAACTATTGGAGTATTGCTTCAAAAATAAATGTGCCCGTATATTCGACTTCCTCCATGTATAACGGACAGGACATGAAAGGAGCTCTTTGTGTTTCGTAACTCATAAATCACATGGTAAAGCTATTAGGCCGCATCAGAATCGGACGCTCACGAGCAGCGGGAAAGAGATGGCCACGCACACAGACGTCTTCGTAAGAGAGACAACAATATTTTTATTATATTAGAGGAATGTCGTTAAATAACACACCACAAAACGCAAAAAAACACGAGGTTTCTGAGTACTACCTGAACAAAAATAGCACGCCCTCCAGCATTTCAGCTTTTCCAACATATAAACTACCATAAATCTGCTGCCGAGATTCGGCGCCAGACTTTTACACATATCAAACCCGCGACTTGTAGCAGCACTGTTGGCATGCACATGGAGTAAAGCACGATTGTATCGGAATTTACGGTGTTTTCGGCATATATGAGTAGTCGACCAATGTAGAGAAGCAACCTGTGGAATTGTGTGGAAGAGGCGGATGTAGATCTTGGGGGGGGGGGGGGGGGTGACCATATATATATATATATATATATATATATATATATCTATCTATATATATATACACACACATATGGGTGCGTGTGTATACATATGCATACACACTCGCTTCTTTCATTTGTATGTCAGCTTTTGCTCATTTATGCCCGTTTGTGTGTGAACCTCTGCGCCGATGTCCATATTCGCATGCCTTCAGCAGCATTAGCTGTCACTAGCTCCAAACACTGTGATGGTAAACCCTAAGCCGAGTGTGAGTCCCGAACCTTTAAGCCCCAAACAGCAGCTCAGGCAAAGGCGAGCTGGTTTTTGCTCGCTCGCAGAACTTTGGCGGCTGGCTGCGCTTAGCCGGCATGAGCCTCAGTGTCTACAGCGCGGCAGAAACTATTCAGACAGAAAGTACAGGACCCAACCTCTACGCATACACATATACATGTATACATACACACATGCAGGTATGATCTAGACACAGTAACCAACCAAATATGTGCATATACATATATATATATACACATACACACAGTCACATAGCAGAATATGTAGAATATGTGTACATATATATATATACATGTCACGGAAGAGAGAGGTCCAGGTAGATATAGGAATAGCTGCACATATCGATATTGCAACAGATATGCATAGAGATAGGGACAGAGATAGATAGGCGAACCGATAGTACGTTTTGTATACACCGCAATACGAAGGGGCACCTGATGGCGGCATGTCCCCTGGGTGAGGCGAAGAGGGCTGGATGTTGGCCCATGCGCCTGAGCATGGAACTTTGCTTCGAGTGCGCGAGGCATTGGCCAAGAGGGGCTTCAATGCACTCATTGGGGTTGCCTTCTTGATGATCATGGTCACGGTGGTGATGAATGAGATGATGGTGGCAACTGACGTGTTGATGGTAGTGAATATTGCGATGCTGATGGCAATGATCTTGCGATGCTGGCAGTGGTTTAAGGTGGCCATGCAATTCTCGCGATGTTTGTGCTACTCTGTAGTGGCTCTTGCTGTTAGAGACTCGGAGTTGCAGTTATCTTGGATGTTGGAAGTCCCGCGGGTTGCCAAGATCTGGTTTTGGTGCTTCTCTTCGCAGCAACTGAAGTTCCCCTGTGCCTTACACCTCCTCACACCTTGCGAGAGGTCACCGCCAACGCAGACCTTTGGTCCCTGTCCGATCTTTGGGCGGCTGTCAGACGCAAGCGAAGTAGCCAGGCTGCCAGATGCTGTCCCGGGGTCAGGCTAGACGCGTAATTCACGACGGTAGCATGCAGAGTTGTGCAAGATCTGGCGGAGACCGAGGAATGCTGAGCCCAACAGATGTGCGGTCGCTCAAGGACGTCCCCACTTCGCAACATGGGGCACAAGCCCAACACGTGAGACGTGTATGTCTGTTTTGTGATTGCTGATTTCGTGACATCGCATTAATCTTGACTTTCCTTCCGGGCATCTCAGGACTCCGGACTAATTTCATTCATGTTGAAACGACGACGAGGGCCACCGCGCTGTTGTCAGGATGCTGAAGAAGGAACACTTCTCATGGCAGACATGGACTATGAGCACCATGTCCGGAGCTCGTGCGCTTCGCTGATTTCCTTGCGAGAGGTATGGGGATAGAATTACTGTAATTCAGGGTTTAGGGTTCTGGTTTAGGGTTTATAAGGTTATACTTTACATTGAGATGCTGTGCATTTTCTTTTTTTGGCCGGGCATCCAGAGCACAAGTCCACCAAGTCGGGTAGCATTTCCTGGCGGAGGTCAAGACTGGCAACGCGGAATGCCTTGTAGAGGATGGACTTCTGCTGAAGGCCGCTATGCCACCGTGCGATTTCCTAGCCGCGAGCACACCCTCAACTGTCGGGGCCACATGTCGAGACACTTCCTTGCTTAAACTTCCAATCGGAGGAAGGTTTTGCTGAGTTTACCACACCTGTGTCGGAGGAAGACCTCAAGAAGCCAGACGACTGGATCCGCCAACGACTGTTTGCTGCGAGCTCAGACGAGGGAAGCGCACAGCTTAAGGACGAGAAGCTGTCTAGTCTAAAAGCGGCAATTCTTGCAGGCTTACTCCTTGCTCCGCATGGCCAAAGAGGAGCCCCCCCTGAACGTCGCTCGGCCACAAACAGCTGAAGCGCCATGACATCCGCTGTGATACTCGGCAGTGCCGTGCCGACTGACAGAAACTGTAACGACGTTGGTGAGCAGCGTCGTCAGCATCCTTGTTGACCTTATCATGGTCATGACAGGGAACCACGTCATGCTCCGAGTGGTAGTAGCAACAGCAATATCAGTAGAACAGTAGAGCAGAGCAGCACTAGTACTGGTACTGGTACTGGTATTAGTAAGTAGTAGTAGTAGTAGTAGTAGTAGTAGTAGTAGTAGTAGTAGTAGTAGTAGTAGTAGTAGTAGCAGAAGGAGTAGGAGTAGGAGTAGCAGTAGGAGTAGGAGTAGGAGTAGGAGTAGGAGTAGGAGTAGGAGTAGGAGTAGGAGTAGGAGTAGGAGCAGGAGCAGGAGCAGGAGTAGAAGTAGGAGTAGGAGTAGGAGTAGGAGTAGGAGTAGGAGTAGGAGTAGGAGCAGCAGCGGCAGCAGCAGCAGCAGCAGTAGCAGTAGTACTAGTAGTAGTACTAGTAGTAGTACTTGTAGTAGTGGTAGTAGTAGTAGTAGTAGTAGTAGCAGTAGCAGTAGCAGCAGCAGCAGCAGTCGCAGGAGCAGTGGCAGCAGCAGCGGTAGCAGTCGCAGGAGCAGTGGCAGCAGCAGTAGCAGTGGCAGATATTGTCGGAGGAGTGGGGGTAGTAGGAGGAGTGGAACCAGGCCGTGACTTTTGCTATTCAGCTGTTCTTGAGCGCTTGTTCTGGTCAGGGGAGGTTAGGCAATGTAACAGGAAATGATCGCGCAGCGCTGCAGTGATGAAATTTCCATGGTTCTAGTGTATATAGTAAAACATGAATGAGACATACCTTGTGAAAGGATGCGTTAATTTTGCAGCTTGCTGCCCTCGCTCGGACTAGCTAGAAGATCACCCGAAGCTTCGAGAACAATCAAATCTCATCGATGTAACCGTCCTCTTGTATAATATCCCGAGAGCTCGTCATCAGTCGACTGGACATCAGGGCGCATAGTTTGGTACAGCAAAACTACCGTCGCTGGCATCTTCTGCAACCTTGCCCACAACCTGCTGCGCATTGCAGCTCTTTACACTTCGAATGCTGCAAGCTTGCGAGTGAGAGGGCTCGTAACGGAAAAAACCGCTGCAGCGGGACATGAAGCTACTCGCAGCCATGCGGTGTAGGCATTCGAAGGCCAGACAGCAACGCACCCAAACCTCCAATGCAACTTCCACACATCATCCTAAATGAAAGGCTTTATGAGGACCGCAAAATAAGGTACGCCTAATTTTCGGAAACTCCCCTATGGAGCTGAGGAGCTTTGTCCGGGAGACTTCAAGCTGACCCCAAGGCAGCTTCAGGGACGGGGGAGACTTGCCATGCGACACAAAAGTGAAAGCTCGTCCAAAACCCAAAGTGCCCAGTGACCAACCGTACAATTGGACATTGTGCTACATGAAGAAACGAGTAAATGTGAATGTCTGTCTGTATATATACATATGTATATAGATATATATATATATATATATATTGTTATTTATTTAAATACTTGTGTACCTGTACCTATATAATTCCGTGTATGTTAATATTTTCCTTCGTCTCTGCCTGTCAGAATCGTATAGCTCCTTTTGCAGCAAGGCAAACCAGGGGCGAGTTCAGAGGAGGTCTAAACCACCCTTCACCCCTACAGTCGAAATCTGAGCCTGTGGGTTACGAGTTACTGTTCCCGACTCTGCTGTGAGGTTTTTTGCAAAGAATCTCGATAGAACCATTATACTATAGATATTTGAAGCCCTTAATATATGACCCCTGATAAGAACTGTTAGAGGGGGTAGTATCCAAGTTAGGAGAATTTAGCGTTGCGAGGCCGTTATGGCTTTCGGCTCGAAACGGTCGCACGCGGTCAATTGCAGGTTTGGCTACTAGCTAAGATATGCCAGACTAAAGTACAATCTAACAGAGTATAACCTCATACGCAGTTTACAGCCCAGTTCAAAGCAGATGAGAGCACAGGGTATGAACGGAGTTGAGGTGCAAAGGCTATGCCTGCGTTTGCAACTTCATCCCAAGCAGATCCTAGACTTAGCATATCTGCGCACGGAATCTATTTCCTCCACCTCTCAACCTTGCACCCCAAGCCCATATTTGCGCAGGCCTCCCCCCATGGACCTCTTCAAAAAGATCACCTTGGAGGAGGTTCAAGGAGAGCCAAAGCACAGCTCGAGGCTGAGATTTGCTAGATACTCATCGAGCAGCAGTTCATGCCATAGCATCATGAGTGGATTCACTGGTGGCCATTGGAAGTTGCTGCTGCATGGATCTGCAAGGCAACTTCAGCAATGATCGAGAGGACTTCCTTGCAGAATAGCTTGCCCGTGTAGTTGCATCATCCCCGTCCAACCTTAGCGATGCTGACTTGATTTGGTTCGTCTACTCTTACAGCCCTAAACTCAGCCAGGAGAAATATAGCTCTGCCAAGTTTGGCAATGGTAGCTCTGGTGGCTACGGCTTTGGCCATGGCGGGCACAGCAACGGACGAGGCCTGAACCGCTGATCAACGGATCTGCACTCAGTGGCATTGTAAGGAGGCTGTCTTGGAAGATAGGAGTGGCGCATGTAGGGATCTGCAAGAGGGATCCTACTTGTGGCTTACAGTAAGGCTTTCTACTTTCTGCAACTCCTACATGCTTGAAACCTTTGAGCAGGCGCGGCCAACAGTGGGCCTGGCTCCTTCAAGCAGCACGATTTCTTTTTGGGCGGCCATCGCGACAAAGGTCCACCGAATCGAGGTAGCGCCCTTAGCATGACCCCGCCCCAGAGCAACACTTAGGCTCCCTGAGCCCACAGACATCGGAGTGCAAAGAACCTAGATCCTGAAAGTTCCGGTCCTACCCCTCCCAGAGCTCCCCCACCAAGCAGGTCTGCTGCTAGCAGTCTTTGCAGGTGTTTTCTTGATTGTTGTGACCACCGAATCAATGATTTTTCATGGTGTGCCGAAGCACGCAACTTTGCATCGCATCTTGTAAGGTCGCGGCGGAAGGGGGAGTGCCCGACCGACAGCAGGTGAGCCCTCGAGTTACAGGGCTTGGTGTAAACCAGGTCATCTGGTTCTTGATTTCCAAACACCTCGAGCTAATCAGTGCCCATGCTCAGCCTGTCCAGCCTAGCCATGACATCGACAGAAGACGTACAGAAACAATGCTAATGAAGATGAGAGCAGTATAAAGCAGAGCAAGACAGAGCAAGGGCACCTAGCGAGACTCAGAGTCGACAGCGAGAAGGGTGCAGCTGCTGCAACAATGCAAGAACAGTAGCATGATCCCAAACATGAAGGGGAGTAACGGAGTAACTGAGTAACCGTTATGATTGTAGGCAGCAGTAGAAAACATTGGGGCGATGGTAGCAGCACAGTCGTCGTCATCATTGTCGTCGTGGTAATGGTAGGGGCCGCGGCAGCGGCAGCAGTAGTAGTAGTGGTGGTGGTAGTGGTAGTGGTAGCAGTAGCGGTAGCGGTAGTTGTACTCAGCCGCCGTAGCAGTAGCAGTGGCAGTGGCAGCAGAGCCAAACGGGGAGGAGGAGCAGGAGGGGAGGAATTTCAACAGCAGCTAGTTCGAATTGTAGTGTCACTTCTAGCCGGGCCGTTGCCGCTACAAGCCGAAGAACAATTTCAACACTAGGGTGTGTTATAGCTGTCCCTATCATTCGACACAACCCCCACTGAGCCCCAGCAACTTTCTGTCGTTTATCTTTAGGCGGCGAGTATTGCCCCTGGCGAGGCAAAGGGCGGAGCGGCAAAGGCATGAAAGGCATGGGCAAGGGCTTTGGAGGCCAGGAAAATGCACAAGTTTTGCATTGGGAGTCTAACTTCTGGCATGTTGCAACATAGGTGGACATCTGGGATTCTGCTTGACTATTGCAGTATACATGTTGTTGCAAACAGAAGGTCCGATGATGTGGGAGGCCCACTGCCCGGCCGCGAATCGCCCTTCCGGCCCACCTTTACTTAAACGGAGAACCCACCACAACCGTAGGCTCTGGTTTCTCCGCACCTAGTGCACTACAATACTTAGACACACACACACACATAAATATATATATACATACATATCTGCGAGTATGTATTGATATGTATACAACTCGCTTCCACTAACTTCTTTGTATGTTTAACATAGACTACAACCTTTACTTTGGAGCATTGTAGTAAGTAGTATAAGTCTTACAATACTGTTGTGCATAGTTGTCATACTAATGTTTATGTTGTTGCCAATGTTGCTATTGTTATTAGTGTCATCTAATCTAGTTTGGTTCAAACTCGCAGAATGTGATACGACATGGTGACGTACAATATGGCATGTTTTGAGTACGATATGATGTGCTGTTGTGGCATACTGCGCTGTATTAATCATAAGAGACATGTTTTGATATGGGTGACTCCTATGGCAAATTCTGATATTCTTCTTGATACATATATATATACACACACACACACACACATATATATATATATATATATATATATATACCCAAAGGAGGGGATGCCGGCCAATCCCAAGCCCCGGTTCTCCAGGCCCACGGCCCTACCCTCCCGCTACAGTCTGTCGCATGGTGCGATGAGACAGACCGTCCCGTGGCAGAAATCCTTGACTGCCTACAGCACGTCGGGGTGGACCTGGCCCCTGGTGACACCAGTGAGGTATGGCAACGTGCCAGGGTTCCCTTTGCTTGCATGTGCGGCTCTGTATACCGACTGCGAGTGACTGCAGCGACTATTGCCAGTACCCTGGATGCGCAACATGCTGCGGATCCGTGGCTTGCCGACTTCTCCAGACGTTCATGGAATGGGTCGCCACCGCGGACTTAGTCGAGTGGCTTGTGCCGGAGGCGGAACCTGCGGAGGACAAGATGTGCACATTTCGGGACGGTAGCCTTCTTCTTGAGGCCCTCGAAGTGGGAGCCATTCCTCTGGCGCCACTTGCCGCCACACGGGGGTATTTGGTCCGCATTAGTGTAGGTCCTGCCTCTTGGTGTGCGACCCCCAACGGGCAAGGTGACCTCAGCCTGACCTTCACCTTTGACGAGTGCATGGAGACGTTGAGTTCCGGCTCATCTCTATCGTTCTTTGAGGGACCGTTCCATGATGTTTCCTTTGACTTGTGCCCGGGACCACGGGAGGGCTTCGCTCGTGTTCCCGCAGTTGACACCCCTGCCAAAAACTCCCGGGCTCTGCTTTCGCTGGAAACGTTGCTTGGCGATCTTCTGCGGTTTGCACTCAGACTTTGGTTCATGCGCATGCCCGCGAGACTCTTCTTCATGGAATCCTCTAGGACCCATCTTGGCCCCCTCATAGAGCTGCGTGGCCTTACCCTGAAAGAGTCGCCAGACTGGGACATTCTGTCCAACGTCGGGTAATGCCCCACCCAGAAACTGCTTCACCTTAATTAGATGCCACAAGGGCTGCGACCTCATGGAGTTTGTGCCCCAAAAGCGTGAATATTGTATATTATATATATATATATATATACATATATACATATATACATATACATATACTTTTACATATACCTTTACATGTACATATACATACATATGTACATATACAGAAGAACAAACAAATACACGCTATGTAGATGGCTTAGCTAAAGCATCACCAAGCAAGGCAAGAGTCGGCGGCCCCAAGCCCAAAACTGAACCCATGCAAACTAAACTGCTCGCGAATGCCCCGCAACCTCCAAGCCCCCACCCGGCTGGACCGAGTGGCGAGAGCGTGAACCCGAAACCCTTCAAACCCCAACACATCATGGTTGCAGGCATGATGGACGGCATGGGTGGCGTCCCTGGCCTCGACGGTTCCACGGCTGCAGACCGTTTTGAGTCAGTGCCTCTATTTTCTGCTTCGCAGATTTGGCGTCGGAATTCTTGGTCCAGTCCAGGGCTTCAGTTTCATTTCAGTGAGAGGCAAGGAGGCATTGGAGCTGGCTGTAGATCTCGGTCTAGCAGCATTGCAGGTGTCATGTCCGTCGACATCAACGGCCGAGAGTATTTGATGACGCAGGCTTGGCAAAGGGGGTGGGGGGACAGTTGGGTGGACAGCGCAGTCGCTGCTGGAAAGGCATCTGATAAGAGTCCTGGGCAACAGTTAGCTCAAATCCCAGCAAGTTCCAGTGCTGGGCCCTGAAACTGCACCTGAACCACTGCACTGCTTTGATATATCAAAAGATCTCGGCCCACTGGTCCGTCGCCTGCTTCAAAAAGTGTCGAAGCTATTTTCTTGTTGATTGCTGACCCCTCCCATGTTTCCGACTACTGCTGCTGCGAGCTGCGTCCGAAGGAGGGCCTCGTCTTTGATCCCGACACGCAGATGCCGTTTGGGGTGTCGGCGGCCTAGTCACCTGCAAATCACAGGGTTTAGGGTTTAGGGTCACTTCAGGCTTCAAAGGTCGGACTTGGGTCGCTGCGCAGTTCAGCAGATCGCACCTTAGATTTAAACTGTGCCGACGGCGGAGCATGGGTTTCCATATGGGATAGGTAGTTAGTTATACAAAAAGCATATGCGTTTCCGTGTTTGTGAAACTAAATTATGTACACACTTGTCTACACACGCACACAGATGAGTCACGTATATGTGTGTATACATATCTACATACAAGAATACACGTATATAGAAACAGATAGGTAGGTACGTAGATAGGTAGGCATAGTCTATCTATCTATCTATCTATCTATCTATCTATCTATCTATATATATATATATATATGACACTTTGAGTCATTCCCTCGGCAAATATGCAGACACACACACACACACACACCAGCGTAAATACATACATGCACGGAGGCACACACGTATACGCACATATACATACACACACACACGCACGTTTCATACATACACTACATACATGATTGCATCTGTGGATGCCCACGGCTGTGTTCTGTCACTGTGCCAGATGCACCGCCCCTGACATCTGTGATTTTGGACGTGAAGATACGAGCTTCCAATGGTTAGTTTGGGTTTAAGGTTTAGAGTTCGTCCTGTTACAATGATGCCATGCATTTTGGCAGACCCTTGGCAGACTCAAAATTCCTGAAAACCCTGAACCCCAGCGCCTAATCTTTAAAGCCCACACACCCCCAACCCCGAACCTGGACTGCTCAGCATTATAGGTCCCATGAGGTTCCTTTAGTTTGCGATACTTACCCAGCAGGGAAAGCCTGAAAGCCAAGTGAACTGGTCCAACGGCGCGACTTCCACGATTTGAGATTGCAAATGCCTCGATGAATAGACCACGCTGCCACCAGCAGGCTGCACCGATCCCGAAACGGAAGCCCAAAGCCAAATATGTCTGCTTCGAGTCTCGATTTTCTCCCTTGCTGCTCGCAGTGGGTGCACAGACCAGGCTCCACCCAGAAACCGGCGAAGTGTGGAACCCAGCCGCGGAGATTTGGGGTTTCTTGGAATTGGGAGCGGGGCGGCCTGTTGGTGGCCTGGATGCTATTGCTTAGGTTCGAATGTGGGGTCTAGTCTCTGAAAGCCTGAAGGCCTGAAGACACGCTTCGTGTCAATCAGATGGTCCCCGCCGGCTGATGAGCGGGTAGACTGTACAAGAGCAGCTGCATGAGAATGAGAACGAGGATGGCAGCAGTAGCACCAAGAGCTGGGGCAAACGAAGATTGAATCAGCACGGCCTCTAAAGCTCAGAAGTTGCAGACACGGTGCCTCAGGCGTAGTAACGCGATGTGAACACACATACATGGGAGTTTCCGAAAATTAGGGGTGCATTATTTTGAGGTCCTCATAATAACAGTACTACATTAGGGCCCCCTATTTTCAGAAACTCCCACATCATTGAATGTGTTTGGACAATGAGCTGACTAAAGTATTGCTGTTCTCGTTCATGGGCACCGCTTAATTCGAGTTCAGCTGGTTTCAGGGCTCCATCCTGGAGTACAAAGACGATAAACGGTGTGTGGTACTGGTACGGTTCGCGGATGGAATACGACCATTGCATAGCACATGTAAAGTTGACCCAGGGTAGAGTGAGTGTAGAGTGCTGATACCAGACCATCCCTATAGAACTCTTCCGAGGTCGTTGAGATCACGGAGGACAGGATCCTGCTTGGCTTCCTGCATCCCGCACCCGGGCACAATCCCCAAGCAAAGCAGAGC